TAAATAGAGAACTATTTTACCGATTATCTTGAAAATTAAATGAATTTGAAGGCTGAAAGTTGATAGTGCAAAGGTTTTATTTAAATCTTGCCCACAAGCTGTAGCAGACAAACTAATACATAAACACACACACAGTAGCGATGCTACATCCCCTGCGCGACTAGTTGCTTGAGATGATAATAGGAAGGAGGCTTCCAGTTCATCCGATTTTTCTGATATCTAACTACCACAACACACACTGAATACTTTTCTACCTACATCATCGAATACATCCATTCCTCCACAGAGAAAAGAGAGTGAAGCCTTCCATTATCATCCAAGGGATTGAAGAAAGCTGCTTGATATAAACGTAATTTTAATACTGTGGATTTATGTTGTCAGGATTGCAGTCAAGCAATATGTTCGCAGTGTCTAACATCTGCCCATACTGGCATTGGAGATGTTACTGATTTTCTCGACAAAAAAAGCCCTGATAGAAAGTGATTTAGATCTCACTCAGAACCATATCAAGCAAAGAGAGGAGTGAATCAACATTTCCCTAACCAAAAACATACTATAGTAAACTAAAGCTAAATATAGTTTGTTAGCTCACCTGAGCCGAAGGCTCAAATGAGTTTTTCTGATCACATTTTGTCCGTCGTCCGTCTGGCCGTCTGTCTGTCCGTCCGTTTTTAAACTTTTCAAATTTTCGACTTCTTCTCAAGAACCACTGGACCGATTTCAACCAAACTTGCCGCAAAGTATTCTTGGATGAAGGAGATTCAAGTTTGTTCAAATGAAGGGCCAAGTCTCATTCCAAGGGGAGATAATTAATAATTACTGAAAAATTGATGGCAATTTTCAAAAATCTTCTTCTCAAAAACCACTGTGCCAGGAAAGATGAAACTTATGTGGAAACATCCTCAGGTAGTGTAGATTCAAATTTGGTTAAATCATGAACTCTGGGGGTAAGGCGGGGCCAAAATGGCTGATCAAAGTTTTACATAGAAATATATAGAAAGATTCTTTCAAAATCTTCTCAATAATAACAAAGCCATGACTGTTCCTATTTATATGGAAGCATCCTCATGTAGTATATATTCAAGTTCGTTCAAATCATGACCTCCGGGGGTAAGGCGGGCCACAATGGCCGACCAAAGTTTTACAAAGAAATATACAGGAAAATCTTTTAAAAATCTTCTTCTCAAGAATAGCAAAGCCATAATTGATCATATTTATATGGAAGCATCCTCATGTAGTTTAGATTCAAGTTTGTTCAAATCAAGACCCACGAGGGTAGGGCGGAGCCACAATGGGCGATCAAATTTGTACATAGACATTGTACATAGATATATATAGGAAAATTCTTTGAAAATCGTTTCTCAAGAATAGCAAAGCCATGATTGGTCATGGGACTTCTTTTGGATATAAACTTTTAAATAATAAACTAATTTTACTTTTTCCTAGCAACAATGCTCAGGTGAGTGTTGTAGCCCATGGGCCTATTATTAATTATAGTAGATTAAATTTCCAATTTCTTTACTGAAGTAGATTAAATTTCCAAAGTTATCACTAAAATAAATCGTAGTTCCAAAGTTTCTGAAGGAACCGGGAGAGGGGGCACTCCAATAATTTTGCCGATGCATGCATATATAGAATGTAGATATCATTGCTACTATGTGCTTGTGCCCCCTCAATAAAAATGTCTGAAGACCTTTATTTGACAAATGAAGAAATTGTTGGTAGTTGAAATCTAAAAATGTATGTGTGTGCCCCCCCCTCCTCTGAAATTGCTTTCTACGGGCCTTTGTAGTTGTATTAAATGTGTGACATATTTTGAATACTGCGTTCCACATCTTTTTTTTAATTTTGCATCGTAGATTGGGAATAGGTGACAATGATATTGGAAAATTTTTTTTTAGATAAACTCTGAATCCAAGGGCTCTGGTCTGGTTTCTTTATGCATAAAATGAAACTGCAACTGGTAATTCGGACTATTTCTGCTGAATTATTATGTTCAACATTGTTTCTTAACATTTTTAAAGAGCTGAGGTTATCTTACCTGTCTATTCACTATTAATCAAGTTTAGCATGCTGAGAATAATTACATAAATTGCAGAAACTTACACAGTTTAATTCTGCCATAATATCAGCCAAATAAATGAATTTCTGGTTTTTGTAGTTATATTAATGATGTAAAGGAAACAATTATTTATACAGGGAAATGACAACAAAATGTTTGTTTTAACCTTTATTTTGGCGAACATTGGCCGTGGCATAGTAATTTGTGGGATGCCAATTAATACACACAACTTTTGGGCAAACCCACACAAATTCAACAAAATTCATCAACACAAACAAGTCATATGTGCAAAAATGACCACCCCGGGTAAACCGCGGGTGGTTACTTATTTAAGGTTACTTATTTAAGTGTAATTAGTTATATGCACAATTCAAGCACAAAACAAATTATATCAATATATCAGCAAATATTTTACATATAAAATGGTTCAACATTTAAACCCCCTTCACAGTTCAATGGTGAAAACTTCACAACAATACAAAGTTTATGTAGGCCTCAGTTGCTTTGGTGTGCGCAAACGCCACTCCTGTACAGGTTATGCCACGACATATTTCACGAAGACGACATCCAGTGCAACAGATTCTGTAAAATACAAAGAAAAAGCCAGCACAAGAACCAAATATGCAATCATTTAAACTCCAAATTATGGGAATGGGTGGGTAGGATATTTAAGGCAGATGCAAAAAAATTTCTTACAAATATTATGAAAAAACTTGACAAAGAAATATTCAACCTACTCTGTATCCAGCGAGTTGATGAAAAGAATGTTGATCCCGAGCTTTCCGACTTATATATACCCAAGGCCGCAGGCCGATCCCGACCAAAAAATTAATACCTTTTCCCGTAAAATAAAGTCATCTGATTTTATATGCATAAAATAGATGATATTATTTATACAGGGAAATGACAACAAAATGTTTGTTTTAACCTTTATTTTGGCGAACATTGGCCGTGGCATAGTAATTTGTGGGATGCCAATTAATACACACAACTTTTGGGCAAACCCACACAAATTCAACAAAATTCATCAACACAAACAAGTCATATGTGCAAAAATGACCACTCCGGGTAAACCGCGGGTGGTTACTTATTTAAGGTTACTTATTTAAGTGTAATTAGTTATATGCACAATTCAAGCACAAAACAAATTATATCAACATATCAGCAAATATTTTACATATAAAATGGTTCAACATTTCAACCCCCTTCACAGTTCAATGGTGAAAACTTCACAACAATACAAAGTTTATGTAGGCCTCAGTTGCTTTGGTGTGCGCAAACGCCACATGACAGCGAACAACCGAAGGAGAGTTTGCAGTCATCCCACACATAGGGGAGCACCCAAGCAACTGACAAAAAAGCCCCCACGGACCAATGTTCTTTATGTTTTGTTTAAGGATACACATTGTCTTGCTTTGACAGGAAAAATTCTAACCCCCCTTGGATATTATTTAGAAAGAGTTTATTTCCTAGGTCATTGAGGTGTACTCCATCTGGCAACAGAAATTGTGACATGTTTTTCAATAAATCGGGGTACTTTATGTAACAACCCCCCAACTCTAACACTAATGAAGCAGCTACCCTATTGGCCTTAAGACGGGATCGCTCCATTGCTTTATTGTCCCCCGATTACCTCCATTTATTTCGTGGCAGCATCTGTGACCAAACAAGTGTAGAATGTGGAAAGCGAGTCTTAATAATCTTTAGATGGGATTTAATTTTCTCAATGAGAGTATACAGATCAATTGATCCTAAATCGTTTGCCCCACAGTGAATAACCAAAAAATCTGGGGATTCCTCATATTCTGTCAGAAAAAAGAGCTTTCTTTTAAGTCCCAAAAAATTCAAACCTGAATATCCCTGCCACCATATATTTATTTTCAATCTATCCAATCCAAGATTTGTTCCCCCCGGTCTGCATACTGATGCCATCATTGCATTCTTAATAATAGAGGAGCCCACACACCAGACTTTAACTTCAGGGACCTCTACAAATGTATGCAATAATTTGAATAATTCTTGTTATATTTACAAAATTACAACTTATTTGCCCCCAACATCTGCCCAATAGGACATCTTATGTATGATTTGTATGCCCTAGACTTCCAACGCCCTGCTTCCATTATGACATCTTGTGAACACCCCGCTTCAAATGCTGCAGTGGCTGCCCCGATACGAAATGAATGGGCCCTATAATGTCCCTGAACCCCCAAAACCTAAAGTGATTTTTTCAAAACTGAAGAGAACTGATATCTGGTAAGGGGATTTTTTCCACAGTGTATAAATAATGGCCCTTTAATTTTTGGTCTTACTGCAAGATAATCTATCAAACTTGCTACTGGACACAGGATTCCCTCACTTTTATCAATGGCTAAAGAAACCCCCTTTCTATCCTGATCACATTTTGACATTCTTATGTGTACAAAAACCTTGGAGTAATTAGCTTCAAATTGAACATCAGTCACTTGTAAAATTGTATGAACACTATTACCAGTAGACAATGTGAATTCCCCTATTCTGAGAAAACCAAAGAAGGCTAATATATAAGCAGCTCTGAACAATTTTGTTTCATAACTATTGCTACAAATGGTCGATAAAACCCTAACAACTTTAGTAAGCAACTGCAAGGTTATTGGTAGCCTTGCATCTGCAGACCTACTAGTTCTTCTCATACCCTCAAGAACCTTTACAACCAGAAAGTTCTTTGTTTCATCAACCCAATTGTGAATTTTGCATTGAAAACTAATAGAAGATAGATAAGATTTTGCCGTAGCATAGGAACACTTCTTAAGTGACAGATAAGCAACAAAGTGAACAACATCTCTAAGAGGTGGGGGCCATGAAATTTCGTACCCAAATTCTTTCCTGAAATTATAAAATGAATTTTGTCCTGTTTTGTATGCTGTCTTAGTGTTTTCAGAGATTGAAGCATCTAGCAATTTATTCATTTGAATCTGTAAATCATGATGACTAATTCTACTAGAAGAGGGTCTGGTCTGGTGCTTGCCTCTGGTCTAACGTCTTGAAGCGGAACCACTGTTTGCGAGAAATAGAATCTGCAATTTTGTTATCCAAGCTACTAATGTGATTTGCCCTAAACATACATGTAACATTATTGATCATCAGTCTAAGAACCAAATGTCTTACCAATTCCATCACTCTTTTGGACTTGGAAGATTGGGTATTGATGACAATAACTAATGAAAGGTTATCAACATGAAACTGAACTTTTTTATGTAACAACCTATGTCCCCATATCTCTATTGCTAAAACTACTGGTATGAGCTCTAGAAAAGTCATGTCTCTCAAAATTTCTTGGTTGTTCCAATGTTTTGGCCATTGGAGAAAAAACCAACTTCCACTAAAGTAACCCCCACAACCTAAATGACCTGAACCTGCACTATCTGTAAATAACTGTAAAATGCTAGAATCTTCCCATACAGTATTAGGAAAATATGCAACCCCATTGAAATGGTTCAAGAACACCAGCCACATTCTAAAGTCACTTTTAATTCCTACTGATAATCTTATATGATGATGTGGCTTGAAAACTCCACTAAATGCATCATACATTCTTCGAATAAAAGCTCTACTAGATCTGATTGCCTTTGAGAAAAAATTGAGCATTCCAACTAAAGACTGCATTTCTTGCAGTGTAACTTTTTCCCTATCTAAAAAATTTTCAATCAGACTCTTCAGGATTTCTAACTTAGCTTCTGGGATCTTAATTGTCATCTCTAGTGTATCAATTTCGAAACCTAGAAATATTAATTTTGTCGTTGGACCAGAAGTTTTCTCATGGGCTAAGTTACTAAAAGTAGACATTAGAATTTCACATTCATCACTACCAGACCTACCTGCAAAAAGGAAATCGTCTAAATAATGATCTAATGTATTCAATCCAGACTTGAACTGAGCAAGCCAGTGTAGAAAAGTTGCAAATGTTTCCCAAATTCTGCAACTAATGGAACAACTCATGGGAAGGCATTTAGAAACCTAACAAGTCAAAATCCCCTGGATTGATCGGAACTAAACGAAAAGCATTTTTAATATCCATCTTGCCTATCAATGCGCCCCTTCCCAAATTTGCAATCATATTGACTACACCATCAAAAGATGCATACTGCACTGTACATAAATCTGGGTCTATAAAGTCGTTGATCCCCTGGGAACTAGGATAGGATAAATGGGTAATCATTCGCCACCCTCCATCAGATTTAGGGACAATGCCAACTGGTGAAATATGGAGGTTAGAAATTGGAAGTTGATCAAAAGGACCCATGATTCGGCCAAGCTTTATTTCCTTACTTATCTTTTCCATCAACTCATCATGGTGTTCACTTGCAGACTTAAGATTTTTTGAAAACACATGACACCTTGGGCCTGTATAATTTATTTCAAAACCCTTTGAAAACCCATTTTTTATATAATTAGCAGCATATTTGTCTGGATATGGCTGCAAATATTCATTTAACTTTTCAACATTAATAGGGGAATTTCCTAGGGCCCATATACCTTTGTGGTCTTGAGGTTTGGGTTGGGTGTGACATAAGGGGTCTAACTTGGGGTTGCCCTTGCAGTGGTCCCCTTGGGTAACTTATGGACTTCCCAACATAATTAGATTGAGGGCACAAATATTGTGGATGACTCCCAGAACATTTAATGCACTTGTGCATGTACTTGCAAGAATGTCCGTCACAATGACCCTTGAAGTTGAAATTATAGCACTTGTTGTAGGCTGGGCTGTTTGGTTTAATTGTTAGTTTAGATTGTGGGGATGATGACATAAACATCAACCATAACTCATAGTCTACTTTAGACCAATCTATGGTGGGATCGATACTGCGGCGAAGTCGAAATTGCTCGTCATATTTCTTCCATCCCAAATCCCCCTCCCCACATCTTGATGCCCCGAGTCTTATGTCATGTAAATATTTCAGCAAACCCTGATAAGATTCTGGGTGGGCTGAAGCATAAATGCTAGAGTAAACTAAGAATGCATCCGTCCATCTACTGATATTTTGAATCTTATTGCTAGGTTTAACAGCCTCTCTTGTGACCAACTCCCCTTTTTCATTAAAAAATATTTTTTTCTCTGAAGATTCTGTCAGGGAAGTGTTATCAAGCAACAAACTAATCTCTATGTATGCTGAACTAATGATTTTAGACTTCAACGAGTTAGAGACATTGCTAGCCAATAGTGAGTGAATGCTATCTACATATTGATTCTCATAACCAATGCTTGTACCTGATTGAGATTCAATGGCCAAAGCAGGCACAGGTGCTGGGGCCAATGGGGTAGAGTTTGACTTTCTGGCACCAACTACATTCTCTTGGGCGGCGATGCTTCCTGGAGGACCATGTTCCTGAACTGTATGATTATCGTCAACCTCTATCGCTACCGCTGGTCGCTCTTGTCTTGACCTCTTTGACCTTGATACTTTGCCCTCGTTGTCTCTCAGTCTGCAATTCCGCTTAGTCTTATTTTTGGGAGGCATTTCCGCTCGTTAGAGTAAATAACAAACAAAAATTACTTATTGTAATTCACCAGATACAAATTTTTTTGATAAATTTGCTACGGGCAAAAATTGCAACAATATATTCAAAATGGCTGTCGTGTCACATTTAATCGGGTTGTAAATCCAGCACAATCCAGAGAAAATAAATACGTTGGATTAAAAAAGTATTAAGAACATACAAACTTTATTATCCATTAACCAAAATTTAAATATATTTAAGGCAGATGCAAAAAATTTCTTACAAATATTATGAAAAAACTTGACAAAGAAATATTCAACCTACTCTGTATCCAGCAAGTTGATAAAAAGAATGTTGATCCCGAGCTTTCCGACTTATATATACCCAAGGCCGCAGGCCGATCCCGACCAAAAAAATTAATACCTTTTCCCGTAAAATAAAGTCATCTGATTTTATATGCATAAAATAGATGATATTATTTCATTAAAAAATATGAAGGGTTATCATTTTCATAAAAATACAATATTTCGAACATCTTTTTTCACTCATTTTAAAAACAAGCCGCCAGTCCATGAATTACACGGTGCCTTAAATTACGTTGCACTTCCCCGTAATTCAGAGACTCTGCTAAAAAACATAATATTCAAGTAGGTTTGATAGGACACAGACTACCAATTATTTTGCTATACATTCCTTTATAACATAAAAAAATATTTTAAAAAATTACACCGGCTCAACTTACCTGAAACTTGGCACAGAGTAAGACCATTTCAAGTCCAACAATTTACCAAGTTCTCAGGAACATTCATAGTCTGCAAGTCCTTTTATGGCAGCGCAAATATCCCCTACCCTGCTTTTTTCACTTTCTCTTCAAGGAAAGGGTAAATATGGGCCTCTTTACACCCTTCCTACTACGCACTTAAAAGCAAAATTTCCCATTATTAACATTTTTATAATTTTTTTCAGACCCTCTCCTTTCCATTTATGCCCAAAAATAACCGCTTTCTACTCCATAAACACCCCAAAGAATTTTTAAGAAAAAACCTCTATTTTTAAACTGGAACTACTTGAGTGGTCAATGAAATAGGGGTAAAATTAGTAGTCTGTAACCCAATAAGGACACAAACCTTGTCTGATTTTGCTGAAATTTGACATGCTGGTGTCTTTGGTTTATACAAAGTGGCCGATGAAGTTTCATTGAAATTGATGATCCCTTAACAGAGTTATGGCCCTTTAAATAATGTGCTGGAACACCTTAAAGCAGAGGGTAAAATAAGCATTAGACATACAGTTCTCAGATTTGAAATGCTCACAACTCACATATATTACAGTAATTTTCTTTTCTTATATTTTTGTTAACTAGATAAATATGTCCTACACAAATTTCAAGAAAAAAACTTAACCTTTTACTTTAGAAAATATATTTTTTTTAAATTTCAAAAAATACCTTCAAAAAGCATAAAATTCTTTAGAATATTAAAAATAAAAATATTTAGCACATTTAAATTTTAGTAAAACTAATATTAAAAAATTCTACAATGTTAAGGCGATGAAAAATCAGTATAAAAGCTGAGGAAAAGAGATTAATACCTTTGTTATAAGCAGATTATCCAACCTGGTCAATTCAGCCTCTGTCAGGAAGTGGTACTTACAACTCTAATTGGATTATCCCTGGTCATATTTAGACTTCTTTGATGGATATTTCTTGTAACAATATGCATGATTAGACAACAAATACCATAAATTCTATGAAAATTTGGATTTTATAATTCTGAATTTACAAAAAAAGGAATTTAAATATACATTTTACCTACATACATTCTTCAGGCTGCTGTAAAAAAGGGGAGGTAACTCTGCACTGTAAAGGTAACAAAGAACAAAACAATTAAAATGCATTTATACATACATTCAATTGTTTAACACAGAAAATACATACCATGCCTGTGTCACATATAATTAGTGCTGGAGTTGCTTGGAAGTTCACTATTAAGAACAGGAAGGGGGGGGGGGGGTGAGGTAGAGAAGGTTCTATTAAACTGGAGTACATAAGTTCTGTCTCGCAGCACTGTTAAGGCTTACTATGAGAAATCAACGGAAAATAGAAGTGCAAAAACGGGAATTGTTTTTAAAACTGAATTTATTTTTATTCAGCTGTTCTATTATCACAGAACTTAAATACTTATGGAAATAGCATAGTATAACCTACTCTGTACTGTATGGAGTTTGGTCCCATCGATGGACAGTCACGTGATGAATGCATAGTAGGTACACGGAATGTAGGTCAATAACAAATTTCAATATCGCAAGGGCATACCCTAGTTGAAATTAAAAATTCAAACTATTAATTGTTTCTGCATACTTTGTACTTTCTGGAAAGTGCTGCTGCTTTGAATAGAATTTGCGTTTTAATAGTTATAATTTCAAGTAAATAGGCTAATGTCGAAATATGTTTGACTTTTACCAAATATTTTGTGTACTTATGAAGTCATGCTCTCGATTTGAAGAAAGCAGCAGCACTTTTCAAGTTAAGGAACATATCCTTTATTTATATTTAAAAAAAGTCATGATTTATTTAGTGTATGCCCTTGCGAAAAAAACGATTTTATGAGGCACCTCGATGTAAAATATACCTAACCTGAACAATAAAACACGACAGAATTATTTAAATACATTCTCTCGACAGTTGATGAATAATCGCACTTAACAAAGGATATACATTGGTATTATTAGCCTATTAAAAACCTGTAAATAATATTCTGTTTTATAATAAAACGCATTTTTCATTGTTAAAAAATTCCCAAATCTGCCTCTCACAGTACATGAAATACGTCATTTTTACCAAAATGACGTCATGATTGACAAGTTCATCGAGATCAGTGATTTGTTTAAAACCAGCTGTATGGGATTTAACTAGCGACTTTTGTTAATGCATTGGTAAATTTTATTGTTGTTTATTATGCTAATACAGTATAAAATTGCAAATTATTTCATTTTCGGGTAATATGATGAATGCATAAAAGTCATATTTTTGTGTGACGTCACAGTAAACTTTTCCCGTATAAATTAGGCCCCGCCCCCTTTTTCTAGCCTTAACAGTGCTGCGCTGTCCTGTGGAGCACTATTTCTGCACAAAGTTTATCCGAATTCTCTAAAACACCTGTCTTTGTCAAAAAATGATGATTTTGTCTGATATGCGACCACCGACAATGATGTCCAAGATTCCACAAGAGTAGAAAAAGGCAGTAGGACCAAACATCCCATATGAAATGTTGAGCACCTTACTGACCTCCCCTGTCTTGGACAATCACAGATCAGTGCCAGCAACCAGACAGCAGATGTTCATTTCCAAAAGCTGAAGGAAAAAAAGAAAGTTTTAGAGAGTATACATTAATAAGCAACAGATGATTATGAGCAGATGAAAACAGTATATAAAAAAGAAAACAAACAAAAAATGATACAAACTATGAATCAGTTGATTGTATACCTTTAACTTGGCTGCTTTTGACTGCAATATTGATGACAGCTCTATCTTGTTTTCTGAATGCTCACTTTCTCTGCTTCTGGTACAAAAATTGTTCACTTCTGACTGGCAACTGGCCTGAATTTTAAGTCACCCATCCAGGCTACAACTGCATGCATCCCCACAATCCGCTTAATGTGAGCCACTAAAAAATGAATTTAAAAGCATTTTAACTTCAGTTCACATTCATAATTAATAAAATATTGTGTCAAATTAATAAGTAATGTGGACAACTATAATTACAAACACCAAGTAGCTTAAGTTTTGAGAAATTTGGCATTTCTTTCCTACTAACAATAGTGTAATCTGAACAATCAAATGTTAAAAACATACCTTGGTTTTTGAACTCAATTTGACATTGAAGATAACAGGATAGGCGGGGAATGGGTTCTATCTTACCTACAACATTATATAAAGAATCAAAATTCATATTGCATTAATTCTTGACACACATCAATTGCACACATTATGTCATACCCTTTGACAACCTGAGCAGGTGCCCCCTCCCCCTTTTTAATTATTTAAATCCATTTAACTTCTCTAAAATATAATTTTATCCATTAATTTTTTCAACAATTAGCATAATTAGTTCCAAATTATCCGAAAAGTGCCAATAAACTGATTAACACGAGTTTTGACCTTTGACCTGATAGGACACAGACTACCAATTATTTTGCTATACATTCCTTTATAACATAAAAAAATATTTTAAAAAATTACACCGGCTCAACTTACCTGAAACTTGGCACAGAGTAAGACCATTTCAAGTCCAAAAATTTACCAAGTTCTCAGGAACATTCATAGTCTGCAAGTCCTTTTATGGCATCGCAAATAACCCCTACCCTGCTTTTTTCACTTTCTCTTCGAGGAAAGGGTAAATATGGGCCTCTTTACACCCTTCCTACTACGCACTTAAAAGCAAAATTTCCCATTATTATCATTTTTATAATTTTTTTCAGACCCTCTCCTTTCCATTTATGCCCAAAAATAACCGCTTTCTACTCCATAAACACCCCAAAGAATTTTTAAGAAAAAACCTCTATTTTTAAACTGGAACTACTTGAGTGGTCAATGAAATAGGGGTAAAATTAGTAGTCTGTAACCTTGAGTGTACAATTAGGCCTACTTAGCAGGGACCTTCATACCCTGTACCTATATACAAAACTTTATACAAACGCACGTGGATAAGGATAGTCTAAAAGGTATTCTTTGTTATTTGTCATGTATTAATCGTAACCATTATCCACATCTTTTTAGTTGCTTTATTTGGACATATATATTTGAACCCGCCTTTTTCAAGATGGCGTCAAAAAAAAAACGCAGACTTTTGTTTTCAATTTATTTCCACGAAAAGAATGTTTGTGCCTATTTTATTGTTATTTTATAAAGCACGTAAAAAGTAAAAAAATTCATTGGTAATAGCATGGAAAAATTAACTATTAGGATTTTTATTTGTATTGCTTTGTGCAATCTTACGTAGGCCACCTTTTTTTCTTGTCCAGACAAGGTGTAGACACTAAGCAGACGGTTATAAAAAAACCCTGCATGGGGAGAATATTTATAATCAGTTTCACTGTTTCCCAATCTTTGCATCAAGTTCCTTGGATCTTTGCATTAAGTTACTTAATGCAAAGATCTATGCTTTAAATAAGTTAACTACAATGCCAAACCAGTTATTTTGCCAATGCCAAAACAAGTTATTTTGGGTTTTTAGACTGATTCATTGTTTTCCATTTTAATTGGTAGAAACCTATTTTCTATTACAGTGGGAAAAAACCATAATTTGTACTTTTATTTCACATATATTCTGTTAAACACATAATTATTTACAAAGGGAAACAGAGAAAGGTGTAGTAATTTTGCATTTGTTCGATGGGCGCTAACAGGATGTTCACTGATGGCCAGATAACAAAAGATTGAAATGAACTTGAAATGCAAAGCACATAATGAAACAC